TTTTTTTTTTTTTTTTGCTGTGAAGAGAGGGCCTGGGTCAGCCCTCTTAGCCTTTCTGAAGTGTTGGCGTTCCGTGTGCCTGTCGGGCTTGAGGTTTTGAGGATATGATTCAGTCTCGCTGCCGAGATGCAGGGAAAATGTTTGCGTCACCATCCAGACCAGCCAAATTGCTCTTGGGGTCTGGCAGCCCTGTCACCCCCCTGTAGCCTCAGCCTTATATAGCCATCTGAAACTCGGGGCCTCCTGTGCCTCTTGGAGCCTGGACACCCTATACTCTGTGGTGTGAGCACCAGACAGTACAGCAAACCCCAAAGGTTGTGGTGAGTAGGGGCCCTTTCCACAGGCTGTGACTCAGGGACCGTGGGCTCCAGTATTCTTCCTGGGGTGGAGAGGGGTTGCCACGAATGGAGAATCAGCCCTGCAGGACCCCCCACCTGCTGCTCTCTGAGCAGGGCCATGCTCGGGAGGAGGCTCACTGTGGAGATGGCACTGAGGAAGGCCAGTCATGACCCCTGGTGCCCGGCTCCTTGACTCTCAGAAGGACACAGGCTGAGAGAAGGGGACCCTGGTTCCCTCCCTCCTTTCCAACAAGGCCCCAAGTCAAGAAGTCAAGGGGCTCATCTTGACTTCTGCTTCTCCTCAATTCCACCCTTCAAGGCAATTTTAGTGTCTGAAACTTTCTTAAAAATAATATAATAGTTTATTTTTATACCATTTTGTGCCTTTTTCCATCTCAGTTGTAATCCCCGTGGGCTTCCCATCACCATAGTCCAGTGCATCCCCCACCCCCATTTTGACCCCATTCCCCACTCCACCCCCGTAAAATGTCTCTGGTATATAGTTGTTCACCATTGTTATTATTTTCTCCCCTGGTCCTTTATACTCCTGCTACAAGTCTCTGAAATTTTAAGTTGCACACTTCCATTAGAAAAAAGGCAAGGACCCCCAATTTGTGTAAGTTTACATATAATTACCGATGTAACAATTGTCGATCTGAGTATTAAATATCAGTAATCCTGTTCCTTCAGAAGGAATATAAATTGAAATAGAAGTCCAGCCACCCTACTTTGTGGTCCCGTATACTGTCTGCACAGCTCCTGTCGTATGGGAACCCCGCACTGGGGACTCTCCCTTTCAGGTCGAGGCTCTCATGGATTACTCCAGACATCCCCAAACCACCCAGCCCATATTCCAGCACCCTAGTTCCCTGAGGGCTGAGATGTCTGCTGCCCGCTGCAGCAGCACATGGAGGTCTGGAAGGCCTTGGGAAGGAGGTGCCTACACGACCCAGCCTTCTGTGAGGCTCTAGCAGTGGCACTCTTGGCACTGCCTCAGGCTGAAGAGGAACCTCCACATTCCATGCCTAGAAAGAGGGCTGTTGAGGACTTGAGCACTTTTTGCACATAGAAGTTCAATAAAGGGACCCTGTTTTCACGTAAAGTCATTGTTGCTTGCTTTCCTGGTTTTTATTTTCTCTCCCGTCAGCCTCCATTTCTGTTTGTATGTCTCCTGTTCTAGGGACAAAACACAGCCCACAGGCCAGTTTCACCCTGATTGCACCGATTCAATGACCCCACCATCACTCAGAGCGACTCTCAAGATTTCTTCTTGGAATTCAGGGATCCAAAGCGGTCCCCTTCTCTGGATGCCGTAAATGTGCAGGTGCAGGCCCTGGCCACCCCCTTGTGACAGTGAAGGGTGCAAACTGATCAAGCTTATGTATTGAGAGGGGGAGTGATAGAGAAGCCTCAAGATAAAGAGCTGAGGCCCTCTCTGGTGGCACAACGGGTTAGGAAGCAGCATTGCAAGCTGGCTGTAGCTGTTTTAGTAGGAGTTTGATCCCCGGCCCCGGAAGTGATCACATGGCTCAGTAGACCTCTCCTGTCATGCCCGCTGTTCTCTTAGCAGTATGCTTCATAGACCTGCCTGTTCTGCCCCTGCTCTGTCTCTGGTGAACCCTCTCACTGCCC